TAGTGTACCAGCGGAATGGAAAGTTTCTAATATAATACCCATTCCTAAAGGTGGTCAAAAGAACGAAGTCTCACATTATCGACCCATATCTTTACTTCCAATTGTATCAAAAGTGCCCGAGCGTCGCACATACGACCAATTGATGAACCATGTCTCAAGTGAACTGCATAACCTCCAATATGGATTTCTCAGGGGGAAGTCTACAACATCACAATTACTAAAGATTCTACACGAGTTTGGTGAGTCACTCGACGAAAGAATCTGTCCTTTATCTCGATTTCGCTAAAGCGTTTGACAGGGTTGATCATCAGCTGCTTCTCAAGAAACTTAGTAATTTTGGAGTTTGCGGAAACTTGCTGAGCTGGCTTCATAACTATCTAACAGATCGCCATCAAAAAGTTACCATTTTAGGAAAAACATCCCGATCAATACCCGTTCTATCAGGTGTTCCTCAGGGTTCAATGCTTGGCCCTTTATTGTTTCTTGTATATGTGAATGATCTGCCCGAAAAGTCCACCACATCGTCTGTTGCTCTGTTCGCTAATGATACCAAGTGTTATCATGCCATAAGAACAACAGATGATGTAAAAGCTCTCCAATGTGATCTGGATGGAATCAGCCAAGGGTGTCGGACGTGGCGCATAAACCTTAAGGAAACTAAGTGTGGAGTTCTTAAGGTAACAAGGAATCTCAAACCCGTGCAGTCATCTTACCATCTCAACAACGATAACTCAGCCAACTCAACGGTCATCTGTAAGAGGCTTGTTCAAAAAGATCTTGGCGTTCTCATCACTGCAGATCTCAAATGGAACCAACAAGTCTCTGCTGTATGTGCGAAAGAAAACAGAATGCTTGGGTTCGTAAAAAGGTCCTCCATTATGATGCATGATCCTCGTACACGTACCGCACTTTATAAACGTTAGTACGAAGTCGTTTCGCGTACAGCTCCCAAGTCTGGTCCCCGCAGTCTGTGTCTTTAATCCTCGAAGTCGAGAAGATTCAAAGACGTGCAACGAGATTCATCCTATCGCTGCCATTTAGATCAGAACCTAGTTACCAGGAGAGACTATTGAAAACAGGTTTACTTCCTTGTCTTACTGGCACGAGTACCTGGACTTGGTGTATCTCTTTAAGGCAATTTAAATTGAATGACTCTCAGATTAGTATAGTATCAAACGATCGTATCACCAGGCGCGCTACAACTAACAGTGTAACCTTAAAAAATTCCATAGTTAACACTTTAACTTTTCAGAACAGTTTTTATAATAGAGCTCCCAGAATATATAACTCCCTACCACCACATATTCGAGAAGCAAGCGTTACTGTCGGCCAATTCAAATCTTACCTGTTAACTTATTATGAAGCAATGACCAAAGAAATATATGATATTAATGCTCCACAAACATTTAAAAGTATATGTGTCAAGTGTCACTCGTGTCGTCCGTTGTCGATTTGCTTGATTTTCTCGTTTCTTCCTTATTTTGTTGAATAGTCACAGGACCACGGTAGATATGAAAACTACAGCCAGATATGGTGTGGACATTTGACCCAGCAAACAAAGGCACTTCAGGGGCTTGTGGAGATGTCATATTTAATGCTGGCGACACATTCGATGCGGAAATAAATTTGTTTTCTTCTGTTGTGGACATAACTTGAAGAGAGGTTTGTCGTCTTTGTAGGCTACTTGAGGAAAACATACGGTGACCGGACTGACTTGATTTTGGGTTGCAGCTTGTTGACTGACTCACGTTGGATTTAGTTTGGATTTGACCTCTACTTAACGTTAAAGACATTTTTCGCTGATGTTGTTGACCTGCAGACTTGTGCGACTGTAAACTGTCGATGCTTTTATGCCCGCTCAGCTGTGCTACATAATTTTCAGGGATGTCAGCGTCGATTAACCTTGAAATTGATGTTTTCCGAACAGAATGGTTGGTAATTTTTGCTCCTTGACCTCGTTGGCGGTTCGCCTTTTTTGCTGCAGTTGACAGAAAGTTCCCAATTTCGTTGTTTAATACCAAGCGGTAACTTCTTGTACCAGATTTGGTCGTTAATTAGCTCTGCAATTGTGTTTGACAGTCAAATAAAATGACGAGTCCGATCCGGTTTATTCATTTCCACAGGACGGTGGCTTCGAAACTTTTTGTAAAATTCTACCGGGCATCTATCGGAGTTTGTAGCATACAACTTCGGTTGAAATGCTCTTTGGTGACCTTGCTCTTGTCCTGAGCGGGTTTTCGTTCCTCGTTCGGCAAGCCAAACCAACATTTCACGATTGTCTTCTGGGTCCTTTTGTAGTTCAACGTCGCCCTAGCGTAACTTTCGACTTTCGTCTCTGGCACGAAAACCAAAGTGCATAGATAGAAACCACCATATAGTTCTTTGCAACGCACTTGGAGAGCTATCGCCAAACTGGCCAGTGACAAATAGAGTGTTCTCTTCGTCGTCCGTAAGTGCTCTCGTTGCTTGTGATTTGCATCCTTTTCCTTGTTTTACAAGATTTTTTTCTTTTGGTAGCTAAGACTTCTCGAGACTTCTCGAATTCAATGTCTTTTAAAATGTTTGTTTGAATGTTATTTTTAGTTTAGTATCGTTGTAAACTTCTCTGGAAACTTGACAGTGAAGACGGTTCGTATCCGTCGCCATTTGCTTTACGAACATTGATAAAAAATTTGCAGAGTAAGTGGTCAAGTTCTGCTTTCGGTAAGTCCTCAATTTGTTTTTCACCTTTGTTAACTGTCTCCAGGTAACGTTGGAAAACCTTCATGTCGCTTTTCGTTTTCGTTATTGTGGTTTTCGCTTTCTGGTTGTGTATAAATTCTTCAATTTTTTCTTGGCTGTTTTTGGTGTTGTTTTGTTCGGCGTTTTCGCCTTCAAGCCTACCATTTTGGGTCATTTGTTTCATCCGAGATTTCATTAGGATAATAAAATTCACTCGGTGAGTGTTCCTCGTCGTCACTATATGGCATTAAATAAAGTTTATTAGCTTCTTTTAATTTTAGAAAATTTTTGGACAGTGTTTTTACAATTTCACGAGCGGGCAAGATGAATTTCTGAGCGGGCAAGATGACTTTTTCCAGACCGGTAATCAACCAATCAGCGTGCGGCAATTATCTCAGTCATATAATAATATAAAATATAAAAGAACATTAGTTTACAAAAGATAAGCTTGAGTCAGGGTTAAACAAATCAACGGTCAATGTTATAGGAAGCTTGATGAAATCGTTATCCGATGAAATTAAAGCGTTATCCAACCCTCCTACAACCGCTCCCTCTTTTGTTTGGTTTATTCTTATGTAGTTTATCGCTAATAGTCACCATTTGCAAAAACTGATCCTCTATAAATAACAATATTTTTTACTGTATCTTAGATTTGGTCGTAAAAAATCTGTCATTACTGCCCTGATTATTGCCTTCGTTGCATCTGTTATCGCAGCGGTCATTCCGACAAACCAAAGTTCGGGTAAGTGTTCGCAACGGATAAAGCACGGATGTCTATTATTACAAGAAACTTTCGTGATTTCAAGACTACCCCTTAATGAAACTTTTGCATATGAAATTATGCATGGAATCACATGTGGAAAGACATTTTGAAGTGTGAAATCATATTTTGTAAGGAGATCTTCAGGAATTATAAACATAGAAGTTTCACGTTTAAACGAGTTCAGTCTCATAGTTTTTAATTAGTTCTAGTTTTAGTTTCGTTAACATTTTCGTAAATTTCTCCACATTTTCGCTATAATTTTGCCGAATACGAAAATACTTTTCCAACAAATCCATCATTTTGCCAAAAAGAAGCCAGGTGGGGTGACACATCCCTCCAGACCACCCTCTAGTGACGGCCCTGATTGCTGCATCAAACTACACCGCTACTCTCTCTTATAATGGGTATGGCAAATACAACGGCAACGTCGGTGAAGACCTACTCATCAATAATATCAATTATTTCAATTATGGCGCCAATAAATTGTATTTCCTTTTGCGCATTCTATAGTAGTTGTTGAAACTGCTACCTTTCTTACATAATTTTCGCGCCTTATAACTACAGTACGCACAACGAAACTGATCGTGTCGGATGTTCGAAACTGATCGTGTCGGATGTTTGATGTCAATTCGCTGAGACGCAATCCTCTAAAAGGGATAAGAAGCAAGTAACGATTAGTAAAATAAAGGTATAGCCTACTTTGCACGAATACAAGAATGTATGTAATTTTGCCTGTTACGTGTTAACAATATACTTAAAAATAGGTACGCGACGCGTACATGTATCTGCGAAAAAACTTGATTCACATTTTGTATTTTCTTGAAAGGAACTGAATAATGAAGATGACATCGGACAATTGAAACATTTCATTACTTATTATAATATGGTAGCAAATAAGACTTTAAGTCAACCATAATACACATCTAACAGGGCTGTACACAGTGCAGAGGGCAGCAGGGGCAATTCCCTCTCCCTCCACCGCCGAGAAAATGTAACTAATTTTATAATGTGATTATATATGATTGTAACAGATAATTATGCAGTCAGTGCCTATACAGCCGGCTATTTAGTAAACTGTGACTGTCACTTGTCAATCCCGCATACTTATAGAATTTTCAAAACTTTATTGTAATCATATAAAGCAAAAGTTCTGTCACTTGTTGTTTACACTTAGCAACGTTAACTGTTGAGAAACATACGCAAACTATTCGAGGAACATGCATTACTGTATCAATGAGTCAATCATATATCGACTAGATCACTGAATAGTAGAGAATGTTTTGAAGGTCATGAGTGAAGTATAAAATTCAATTCCAATCCTGTGCACAGTTAATTATATACCACATTGTTCGGTTTAACACAACATATCCACACAAAACATTTTGTGTTGTGGAAGAATGTCGGTTTGTGTAGAAGGTATCACCAGTTTAGTTTTGTACATATTGTGTGCCATTAATGTGATCCATATATGATTATTATATTGTAGCTGTTAAGTTATTTTCCATAGTGGACCATGCTAATGAATTCAGGTATAATTGTCTTGCAAGTGGCCGTACGTTGTTCTTACAAAATTATCCAGCCATTATCCAATACATTTATTCATAATTCTTGTATCAATCTCTAAACAAAAACATTTATGTTAGAAAGCAAAGTTACAATGTAATGAGGGGAGAAGGTGTGTGTGTGTGTGTGGGGGGGGGGGTTCTTTTATTAGCATTTGAAAATGTTTGTAAAAATTTTGTTTAACTCTAATCAGTAAACCAAAATGTATAAATTATAAATTATTTTAACTGATTATTAATATTATTCTTGTTCTTGTTACAGTATTGTGTACTGTAATATGGCGAAACTAATAACTAAATAAATAAATAACATCTTAACCTTTGCTCTATAATTAACACTACTGATCATGACTACACTTGATAACAGCTCAGTTGAACTGTTGTTTTGAACAGTGTTACAGAAATACAGGTCTGGACCAGCTGGATTTAATAATTCAATATCTCGTGAGAACATTAGTTTACTGTGATATTGTTCATTGGCAAATATTTACAGAAATACAGGACCAGGATTGAATTCAATATCTTCTGAGAACATTAGCTCGAACATAGGGGGCCCAATCTCGCAAGGGTCAGTATAGACTTATAGTATAAATGTATATTAATATAGTAATGTATATTATAGTAAAAATATGTCATAAAATATAAATTGGATTTATGAAATAAATTATATTAAGAACTAGCTGAGTTGTTGTACTTGTTATCAGAATAGGGGGCCCGGAGACAGCTTGGCAAATGCTAATGTGGGCATTTGCATAACCTACCTTATATAAGTTGTTTACACCAGTAGCTCATTCTCAGTCGTTACATTTAGTCGTTCCCATCCCCCTCCCCCACGGGGGGTCTTAGTCGTTCCCATCCCCTCCCCCTCACCCACGCCCATTCGTAGCCTTCCCGGAGGAAGCCCGCAGCCAGCCCCGTCGCTTGGCTCGCTACCCGTCGATTGCCCAATCTCAGTTAAGTACCTTTCCCTGTTCATGATCTGGCACCTCGCGCCAGCCTCGCTGTGTTAATAACAACTCTGGTATCTCACAATCCTTCGTCTGTCATGTCGCATCGTCCTTCCCATCCTGTGTTCACGGCAATCAGCGTCAACAATCGGCCCAAACTCATGTGTGTGTCATAATTCGTTCGTTATACAGTGTCTCTTTCGGAGCGGGTCTTGGTGCCCTTGCTCATCTCCACTTCCTTAGGAAGTGTGATTGTGGTACTATAGGGGTGAGGTGTTGTTCTCGGCACTCGAGAACAGCTAGGTTAAATGTAAATACATTACCAAGTCGTCGATACCTAATTTATGAACGTGGCCATGACTAAACGCAAACTCTCGACCCACGGTCATGGCTTCGACCGAACTTCCTCTTCAGTTGTACTACAAACCGCCAAGTCACTTAGATATTTGCCAGTTACGATCGAAGCGAGCTTCTTAATTTTAAAATGAAATTGACTTGCCTATTTGATAGTGTGTGTTCTCCTTGTATTCCTGCTTTGTTGGACTAATATATTCCGAGACTTTGTAGCCTACTCGATGTTACTAGTATACATGATACATGATAAAGGCAAACTATTTCCGATCGTACCATTTTAGATCCCATTGTTTTCCGATCAGTGCCTTCGAATCTCGATGTCTCCCTCGAGAACATTTTCTTATCTTATTACCGAGTGAACAATATTACAACATACTCGATAACATTTGCCAGTTTATAGGATTTATAGGATATTT